CCCCACAGCGCCCTCACCGCCCCCACAGCGTCCTCACTGTTCACAGCGTCCTCACCGCCCCCACAGCGTCCTCACTGTTCACAGCGTCCTCACCGCCCCCACAGCGCCCCCACCGCGTCCTCACTGTTCACAGCGCCCTCACTGCCCCCACAGCGCCCTCACTGTTCACAGCGCCCTCAGCGCCCCCACAGCGCCCCCACTGTTCAGTGTCCTCACCGCCCCCACAGCGTCCTCACTGTTCAGTGTCTTCACCGCCCCCACAGCGTCCTCACTGTTCAGTGTCCTCACCACCCCCACAGCCCCCTCACCGCCCCCACAGCGTCCTCACTGTTCAGTGTCTTCACCACCCCGACAGCGCCCTCACCGCCCCCACAGCGTCCTCACCGCCTCCACAGCGTCCTCACCGCCCTCACAGCGTCCTCACTGTCCACAGCGTCCTGTCCCCACAGCGTCCTCACCACGTCCACAGCGTCCTCACCGCCCCCATAGCATCCTCGCCGTCCCCACAGCATCCTGTCCAGTGTCCCCACTGTCCCCACAGCATGCTGTATCCACAGTGTCCTCACTGTCCCCATAGCGTCCTCACTGTCCCCACGGTGTCCCCAGTGTCCTCACTGACCCCACAGCATCCTCACCGCATCCACAGCCTTCTTACTGCCCCCAGTGTCCCCATTGCGTCTTCACTGTCCACAGCGCCCTCACCGCCCCCTGTCCACCGCGTCCTTGCCGTCCCCACAGCATCTCCATTGCGTTCTCATTGTCTAGTGTCCTCATTGTCCCCACAGCGTCCTCACCGCGTCCACAGCGTCCTCGCCGTCCCCACAGCATCCTCACTGTCCCCACGGTGTCCCCAGTGTCCTCACTGACCCCACAGCATCCTCACCGCATCCACAGCCTTCTTACTGCCCCCAGTGTCCCCATTGCGTCTTCACTGTCCACAGCGCCCTCACCGCCCCCTGTCCACCGCGTCCTTGCCGTCCCCACAGCATCTCCATTGCGTTCTCATTGTCTAGTGTCCTCATTGTCCCCACAGCGTCCTCACCGCGTCCACAGCGTCCTCGCCGTCCCCACAGCATCCTCACTGTCCACAGCGTCCTCACTGTCCCCACAGTGCCCTCACTGTCCACAGCGTCCCTACTGTCCCCACAGCATGCTGTATGCACAGCGTCCTCACCGCCCCCACAGGGTCCTCACTGTCCCCACGGCGTCCTCACTGTCCCCACAGCGTCCCCACAGTGTCCTCACTGTCCCCACAGCATCCTTACTGTCCACAGCGTCCCCATTGTCCCCACAGCATACTGTGTCCACAGCGTCCTCACCGTCCCCACAGCGTCCTCACTGTCCCCACAGCATCCTCACTGTCCCCACAGCGTCCTCACTGTCCCCACAGCGTCCTCACTGCCCCCACAGGGTCCTCACTCTCCCCACAGCGTCCTCGCTGGCCCCCAAGTTATCACTTAGCATCTCTCTCATGCCTCCCCATGTAGCCTTTTGGGAGTGTCACTGGAAGGGGAGAGTTCACCCACTGACTCCTGTCTGCCCCTGAGATTAGGGTGGGCACGTGAGGAAGTATTTGTGTCCCCTTGAACCGCCTCCTGGAGACTTTTCCTGGGTTTGGCGAGGGGAATTTCCAGGTCAGTCGTGCAGAGAAGGCCAGAAGGGTTTATTCAGCACCAGAGTTTGGAGGGGAGACGCAGGCAGGGTCTAGACCGCATTGTGCCCCATGGTCCTCCCAAGCCTGGAGGTGTGGGTTCGCCTCCCTCGGGGTAGGGTGGGCAGGAGTTCTGTCCCACGTGGTCTGGGCCTGCAGGTGGGGTGGGTATGAGAGATTGGACGGAGGCGGCGGAGACGGGTCCAGGTTGGCGCGAGGGCCCCTCGGGTAGCGTCCTGTCGAGTTTGCAGGTCCGCGTTGCCCAGCGCCGGTTCTCTCCTCAGGACGCGCCGGTTCTCTCCTCAGGACTCGTCGGTTCTGTCTTGCTCGGCCACCAGTGGGTCGGTCAGCGACAGCCGGAGTGCGGCGCGGGCGCGAGCGCGGGCGCGGGCGCGCAGCCTCCGCAGGCGGCACAGCAGCAGCACCAGCAGCAACGCGTGCAGCAACCCAAGGCCCAGCAATGCAAGCTGCGCCGCCAGCGCCCCCCAGCAGAGCGGGCCGGGAGCACAAGCGGCGCGCAGCTCGTCCTCGGCTAGGTAGGGCAGCAGGCGGCCACGCAGCGCTGGGGGCGCCACGCAACGCAGGTCGCGGTAGGGCGCACGCTCGGGGCGGCCGGCCAGCCAGGCGCGCAGCGGCACAAGGCGGCAGTCGCAGCGCCAGGGGTTGGCTCCCAGGTGTGCGGTGCGCAGCGCGGGCAGCGCGTCCAGCAGCCCCGACGGCAGCGCCGTCAGGTTGTTGCCGGTCAGCACCAGCTCGGTTGTGTGGACAGGAAAGGAGGTCGGCAGCGAGGCCCAAGTCAGCCCCCGGCGCCCGCAGTCCACGAGCGTCCCCGCGCAGCTACAGGGCGCCGGGCAATCTGCGGCCGGGCGGCTCGGCGGCGCCAGCATCAGGAGCAGTAAGCTCAGCGCCCCGCGCGGCCCTGCAAGGGAAGCGCCGCAGTGAGCCGGGCGGTCGGCGGGGCACCTGGGCGACGTCTCTGAGTACCCAGAGCGCCGGCCCGGCTCCATCCAGCCCCTGATGCCCGGCGTCCCGGTAGCCTGCCAGCCTCTCCACCCTGACCACCCCGCGCGCCGTTTGGAAGTCCCCCTCTAAGTCTGACCCAAGTCTCTCCCAGCTGCAGCCAAAGGACCAGAGCGCCTCTCAACCCGGGTCGGCCTAGGGAGCAGCCGGGGGCCCGACCGGACTCCAGACTCACCGGAGCCCATGGCTAGAAGACGGCGGCCCAGCTTACTCTGGAGCGGGACGCGTAGGCGGGAGAGCCAAGCGATAAGGCGCTCCCGCCCCCGCCACGCCCGCACCGACCACAGTGCTGCGGCCCGGCCAGAAATAGCCCAGAGGCCGCGCGGACGCGTGCTGCAGCAGCAGATAGCACACTATCGCCGGAGGCCGCAGGCCGCCCGGGCTTCCGCTCCCACCCGCTCTCAGGGGCACACGGAGCACTCGGACACCCGCTGCGACGTTCACCAACATTGTTCTCCTGTCACCAGGACAGGACGCGGCATTCACAACGCAACAAAACGGAGCAACGTGTGGCGGGAAGGGATCATGCGGGTGGTAAGATCAGGAGGCCGAGGCTCGGGATCCCGGCACACCACAGCTGTGCTGGGGAGGCCTCGAGCCAGGGCAGGGGACGGCACCGAGAGTTGCCAGGAGGTGGCTCACCGCCCAGTGCCCCGGGGGTCCTCCAGGTCAGGCCGGGCTGTGGAGAAGGGGTGTGGGTGGTCACGGCCCGCCCTCCTTGCAGCCTCTCACCTCCTTAAGTCTGGAGAGCTCCCATTCGATTCAGCCCAACCCTGCCCGCTGGGCTTCTGGGGCTAAGGGAAGACCCGGCCCGCCTCGACAGAAAATGGGGTCTCAGCACTTGCTGGGTGACCCGCGGGAGCAGGCAAAGGAGGGTTCCCAAGTCCGTTCTGCAGCACTGGGGCAGGGAACAGACCCAGGACCCTGGGAATCCTCCTCTGCCTAGGTTTACCTGCCTGCTAGAGCAGGGCCTGCAGTTTGGGTGGTGTGACCGTCTGGGGGCGGGGGAAGGGCAAGAGAGGCGGATCTTTGAAGTCCCGCCCAACTTCGCTCCTGATCCCCCAAGGCCAGAGAGGGCCAGCTGGGCGGGGGCTACAGTCCAGCCCCTCGGAAGCAGATACGAATGACCTGGGAGGGGGTGGTGCTGAGAATAAATTAGGGTCAGCTGGGGGCTGTGGCCCCGCGTCTCCGGGTCGGGAACAGTCCGGTCTGGGGTCCAGGGGTGGGAGGGCGTCCCGGAAACGGACGGTGTGTCCGCGACGAGCGTCACTGGTCCTGCATCTGCTGCTTCATCCTCTGCAGCATCTCCTGCATGCGCCTCAGCTGCGGGCGGGCGGACGGGCGGAGACAACCGGGCCGGTGAGCAGCACCGTGGGAGCGCATCCCTGCCGCCCGCCTCCGCCACCCCCACCGCCCCACACACTTCCTCATCCTTCATCCTGATAAGCTTCTCAGTCTCGGCGTCCGGGGTGGGCAGCGGCAGGATCGGGATGGGGCTCTCCATGCGGCTGTCCTGGGTCAGTTTGCTGCGGGGGGAGGGATGGACGGGGCAGCGCCACCCGGAGGCTCAGCGTGGGCTGGCGATGCCTGGCCCATCCCCATCACTGCTGAGGCCCTGCCCTCCGGAGCCCTCACAGCCGTGGACTGGTTCTAGGGAAACCAGACTGGGGGGGGGGGCGATTTGGGGGATCGTGCAAGGTTCAAGTCTGAGTGGGCTGACAGGACTGGCCCTCAGTTATGGAGACGTGGGCGGGGCCGGAGGGGCGAGGTCTGGCTCGGGGCTGGGGAGCGCACCTGGTCATCTGCTGGATGCAGTGCGCACGGTAGTTCTCGTAGTGCACGTCGCATGTCACGTCCTTGAGGTCGTGCATGTGCGTGCGGATGAGCATGTTGCGCAGCTTCACGAAGTCGCAGTGCGCCTGGTTCTCCACTGCGGGGTGGGAGTGGGTGGTGGGCTGGCGCCAGCCTAGGACAGCCTTCCCCCACCAGACCTGGTACCCCAACACTCCACTCACCCTCCACGATCCCCCAGGGGTACAGGCGGCCCCGGACACGCTGCCCCTTGGCCTCCACCACCGTGTTGCTCCCTATAACAGCGAAGGGCGCGCTCTCCTGGGGGAAGGAGGGAGAAGGGCTCACACCTGGTCAGCGTAATTGCAGGGTTACTGATGGGAAACGGGCATGTAATTCCCAGGGCACCCCTCCAGCATCACCATCAACGACCTCTCCTCAAAGAGATCCTGGCGTTGCCCCTTTCTGGCCTTTCTGCCACTGGCTGGAGACAGAGCCCATGGCCTTCCAGGGCTTCACATTCCAGGGCCTTTCCAGGCATGCTCCACCCTCATCTCCTCCCTCATCAAGAACCACACCCTCCAGCTGCCCCTTCTCTCCCCAGGGCTAAGCCTATGTCTCCCCGTGCTGATGCCCCTGCCCTGGTGGCCACCTTCCCCTGGCATGGTCTCCATCATCACCACTTGAGTTGCTGGGGTACCTGAAGCCACCAACCCTGGAGGTCAGAAATCTGGGAGCCAGGGTGTGCCACTGGACTAGCCCCTTCCTCTGGTAACCCATGGAAAGAGGGTTGGGGTTGGGGGCCTGGCCCACTGTTGCACTTCTGGATCTGGCCAAGTGCTCCATACCTGCCAAGCACCATGTGGGGCCCGCATGACCCACCCCAGCCAAGCAAAGACATGGTGACCTTTACCTTCTAGTTCTGGATGTAGGGGGTACAGGTCTCTACTCCTAGAACAAATGACTCTTGCCCCCAACTGGGCTGACCTTGCCCTCCTCCAGCAGGCCCAGTGTGAAGGAGACAAGGCCCTCTGGTTCTGCCTTTGCCACCTCCATCGCCCTGCCCCAGCAGTCTGCATGTTCACCTTCAGTTCCCGGTCCTGCTGCTTGAAGTCCTCATCCTCATCCGAGTCACACTCAGGAAACTGGTATACATGGATCCCAAACTTGTCAATCTCCTCCCGGATCTGTGGTGGGGCAAGGGCTGTCAGATTTGAGGCCGGTCAAGTCCCCCTTGTACTCTCAGCCCCAGGGCCCTGGCCAGGCCCCTGTGCGGCGGCAAGCTCACCCGCTCCTTCAGTTTCCGGATCTCACTGGGGACAAGACAGTCAGCTTTGGCGATGAGAGGCACGATGTTAACCTTCTCATGCAACGCCTTCATGAAACCCACATCCACTGGCCGCAGCCTGCCGAGAGCAGCCAAGCGTGGGCATAAGCACAGCCAGGGGCCATATTGTAAGGGGGTGCACTCCCGAGTCTGGCCCCAGGACAGCCACGCACCCATGCCCGAAGGGGGAGATGAAGTACAGGCAGCAGTGCACTCGGTTGTCTTGGATGTTCTTTCGGTTGAGGCCGCTCTCGTCGCGGAAGTACTGCTCAAACTGCTGGTCCACATAGTCAGTGATGGGCTTCCAGCTGTGGGCAGGAGGGAGGTGAGGCCAGGCCTGGAGTGCTGTGGCCGCCTAGGCAGGGCCTTTCTCAGTAGGCCTCGCTCACCACTCGGTGTTGTTGACGGCATCCCCGAATCCCGGTGTGTCCACGATGGTGAGCTTCAGCTTGACTCCCTTCTCCTCAATGTCCACCGTGTGCTTTAGAATCTCTACCGTCTGGCTGATGCGCTCTACGGGGAAGGGGCCACTGGAGGGGCCTCTCCAACCCTCAGCCCCTCACCCTTGGCAGCCAGGACCCTTGTCCTCATCCATCTTGATGCCTTGGCCCTTCCCCCGGGGGGACCCACCCGCAAGAACAGAACAGTGGGAGCTGGACCTGGAAGGGAGTGCTTGGAGAGGTCCCATGGAAGGGGGCTGGGGATCAGTGTCAGGGCCTCCTGGGGGCCACTCACCCTCGGCACTGAGCAGCTTCCGGTCCTTGTATAAGTCTGTCAGGAAGAGGCTGTGGACCAGTGTGGATTTCCCCAGGCCTGACTCACCTGCACACAGGTACAGAGAAGGAGTTGGGTTAGGTCTGGGGCTCCAACGACAGAGTTTGGCTGGCCAGGGACCCCAGCCACTCCCCTGAGGAGCCCAGCCCACTCACCAGCCACCATGAGCGTGAAGTCAAAGCCTTTCTTCACTGACTTGCGGTGCACCTGGTTGGGCAGTGTAGCGAAGCCCACGTACTGCTTGTCAATGTCCTGGGGGCAGGGTGGGACAAGTTAGGGACAAAAGGTTTCTCCGGAAGCCCAATACCCTGTCTCTTACCAAATGAAGGATGAGGAGACAGCAGAGGGTATGGTTCCCAGGGTGGGGCATTTCACTGGCAAAAATGAGGGGAGGGCCCGTGGGCAAAAGCCTGGAGATAAGAAGGCAGGCCAGGGGGTGGCAGAAGAGGACACCCCTGGCCCCAACCTTAGGGAGGGCTCTGCAGGGACCGAGGCTGTGTTTGTCCCTTGGGGAGATGTCAGGCTGCAGCAGGCACAGGCGGTGTCCTCCCTCCTCGGGCACAGGGCAACAGGATTGGGACCCCTGGGACACACTTAAGGCCCTCCATAAGCCGGAGAAGCTCGGGGCCTCGACACTCACCCCTCCGGAGAGTGGCAGGGGGCGGGAGGCCCCACCTGGCCTGGATCCAGCCGCGGGGGCGGCGGCAGCGGCGGCGGCGGAGCAGCGCCTATTTATAGACGGCGGCGCCGAGCCTACCCCGCCCGCGCGCCCCGGCGCCCAGCCCCCGCAGACCCTTGGGGCCCCTGGAGGGGTCCCACGGCCGCATTCTCCGCCCCGTTTTGGGGACGCGGGAAGTGAGGCCTGGACAGGGCACATCGGCCACAGTTGGGCCGCGGACCTCCCGAGGCCGCTGCGGAGGGCAGGGCTGAACCTAGGCGCTGACGGGCAGCGGGCGGGGATGGGGACCCCCTGCCGAGTCTCGGGGCCCGCGGGGTCACAGACCCACGTTCCGCCCTCTCCACACACGCACCTTGAGCCGCCTCTGGGCCTGGGTCCGCGGCGACAGCAGCTGCTCCACCAGGCGGTCCTGGGGCGCTGCCAGCGAGTCCATCGCGGCGACCCCTGCGGGCCCGCGGGCGCGCTCGGACCCCTGGCCCGGTCAGGCCGCCAGAGCCCGGCGACGGCGAGGGACCTTGGCACGGCTCTGCCTTAGGCTGCGTTCTCCGCCCCGTTTTGCGGACGCGGGAAGTGAGGCCTGGACAGGGCACGTCGCCCACCCGGGGGATCGTCGACCCCCGAGGCCGCCCGAGCCATCCCCCTGACTGGGCGGACTGGCCCCGAGCTGTGGCGGCGTCGCAGCCCGGGCAGGCCCTGCTCCCGCACCCGAGCCAGAGGCGGGGCGTCGCAGGCGCCCGCGGAGCGCGCGGCGGGGGGCGGCAGAGACGGCCCCGCCCGCCGTCGCCGGGAAACGGTCGCCTGGAAATTGGGCCGCGGGCGGAGCCACCCGAAAGCGGCTGCGGAGGGCAGGGCTGAGCCGAGGCGCTGACGGGCCGTGGCTTGCGTGGACCGGGAGCCCCGCCGCGCCCCTGGGGCCTCAGTCTGGGCTCCAGGACAGCAGAAGGGGACGACCGGGTCCTGCACGCGGGCTGGGGCGGGCCGGGAGTCGGTAGCGGCCGCGCGTTCCGACCCCAAGAGGTGCTGCGCGGCTTCCGCCCGCCAGAGGGCGCCGGAGGCCGCTCCCGGGACCCACGCGCAACCGCGCGGGTACCCGCCCCATTCAGGGCCGGCAGTCTTCTCGCAGACTTGCCCGAAAACCTCCCGGCTGCGTCACGGCGCCCACAGACACGCCGCGCCCTGCACCCCTCCCCAGCCCTGCTTGGGGCTGACCTTTCCTGTGCGTGTGTGCGCGTCCGTGCGGGTGTGTGTGTAATGCCTGTGTGTGTGTAATGCCTGCGTGTGTGCCCGTACATGTGCGTGTATACATGCGTGTGCACGTGTGTGTGTACGCGTGTGTGAGTGCGTGCATTGGGTATGTGCGTGTGCGCGCGTGTGGGTGGGTGTGTGCATGTGTGTTTGGTGGACTCTTTCCCGGTGCGGCGCCCCAAGACATTCGGGGGACGGGAGGAGGGCAGAGCCCACCTTTTGTGAAGTCCAGCCCGGCCCGCCCCCTAGGAGGCTTAGGGTGGACAGAAGGGAAGGGAAGGGAAGGGTGCAGGCTGCCAGAGTACTGGAGGTCCCTGCAAAACTTGGAAGCCCCCGCCAGCCTGCTGAATAAACACCAGCCACCCATGCGCTGCCCTGCAGCCCCCAGGTGGCCCTGCCCTCAGAGACAGGGGTAGGGGGTGGGATGAGACCCATCTCCCATGTGCTTCCGTGGACACTCCCTTGCCTTGTGAGCTTCTTCATCAGCTCTGACCCACAGGATTGGAGGGACTCGGAGCTCCTGCCAGCTGGGCCTCCCTCCCATGTGGCTACTCCAGGGACTGCGGGGGTCTCCTGAGCTCCACTCTGTGGGCCACCCACCTTCATGACCCCAGTAGAATCCCAACAGGCAAGCCCAGCAGAGCAGGACATGGGGCCTAGAAAAGTTCCAGGGTAGGACCGGACAGGCCCAGTCCCTGCACGTTAGAACATTTAGAAGCTGGAGGCCCCAGCCCCACCCCACCCGCCACCAGCCCTCCCTTAGGCCCTGCTGGCTGAGGGACCTCCTCCACTGCCCGTCCAGGCCCTGGTCCTGTTGTGGGGCCTAGAAGCCACTGGCACCTGGGGAGGAGGGGCAGGCCCACAGCTGGGAACAGGAGAGCCTTTCATCCCAGGGAAAGGGGGTGGCTGCAGGCCCCCTGGCTCTACCAGTGCATCCTTCAGTCCTTGCTGCCAGAAAAGCCTCCTCACGGGCCCCAGCCTTCCATGGCCCTGACCTGCAGGAAGCCTCTAGGCTGAGTCCCACCCAGTTTCTGAGGGTCCACACCTCGAAGCCCAGCACCCACCCAGACAGGCTGGCATCTCGGGCCCAGGGCATCTCCAGGAAGACAGACAGCCCTGGGCCTAGGCCTCAGGCTAGGAGGTGTCTAACAGTGTATGGCTCTCAGACTGCGTGCCTCAGTTTCCCCATTGGTAAGGCACAGGCTCTGGGGAGGCCCAGGTCAGGAGGGCAAGAATCTCATTCTCAGCGTTCAACCCACCTGCCCTGCCACCCACTGGGCCCAGTCAGGGCCTGTGGATTCCCTGGGGGAGCCTCAAGGAAGGGGCCCTACCTACCACCCTTTCTCTGGTCCTCAAGTGACAAAAGATACTCCCAGGGCTTCCTGAGCCATATGACACAGCTGCGCCCACCTCCTCCCAATGCCTCAGCCTCTCAGCCACTTCCACTCTTAGAATCACTGGAGTCAGCTCTGGGAGCAGCAGCCAGGGCCAAGAGACCACTGGTGCTGCCTGCGAGGAGGCGGGGGCACAGAGGGTAGTGACGGTGCTCCCCCAATGCCTCTACAGCCCCCTTTCAAATAACAAAAAGAATGCTTGGACAGGTTGAGGCTCAACGACTGTGGTAGCAGGGAAACTGAAATGTGCTTCCAGCTCCCCCAGACCCACTGGTCGCCCCAGACACCTGACCTGGCTCCTGCTCCGGGGCTCCCTCCCTTGGCCGTACAGTGCCTTCTTCCTCTGGGCTTGGAGGCCTGGGATAGGGTGAGGTGGACTCCCAGTTGACCTCAAAGGATGGGCACCTCAGCAGGAGGGGGTCCCCACCTTGCAGTAAAGGGTAAGAGAGCCTGGCCGCACTGAACAGCAGTGGCTGGAGCCCAGGGTCTCAGAGTGCCCTTGGGTCAAGCTGGGGACACCTGCAGGCCCAGGAGAAGCCTCGGAGGCCTGGCCTCCCGGGTCTCCCAGCCTCAGCTCCTTCCATCTCCCTCAAACAATAGCCTGACGCATGTGTCCCTGCATCTCAGGCTTTGTCTGACCTGCTGTGACGGGGAGGCAGCTCCCAGCCTGGCTCCCCAAGGAGCCCCTCCCAGAGAGCCTCACCCACCTCTGGGCAGGGTGTGTCCCTTCCAGGAGAATGGCACTGGTCAACCAATGACTCCCCCAGCTCCCAGCCCGCCCTGCCCAGCCCTCCTGCCCTGCCTGCTGCACCCTGGGCCAAGACTCTGGAGTTCCACTCAGCACCCATGGCTCCTGAGAAACTCCATCCCTGATGGGGGCTGCCAATGCCAGCCTGGTGCCAGAATTGGGCTCTTCTTTTCTCACCCAAAGATGGCTGAGCTCAAGCCAGAGAGGCCACCAGCAGGGTTCCCCCAGCCCCCTGAGGCCACCTGGTTGTCAGCCCCCACCCCACTCCAGGGGTCTCACAGCATTGTTTAACCGTGAGCTCGGCTGGATTTCACCTAGTGCCTAGGCCAGCCTCCTGTCCAGTCCTGCTTTCCTGGAGGGCGGGGCCCAGGCCAACCCTTTGGAGAAGCCACAAGCCTATTTGTACCCACAGGGTCCCAGGACCCATCTGGGCACCAAGAATGACTCAGACCAGACCTTGGGGGTTCCCAATCTGGGGAAGAGGCCCTGCTGCAGACCCGAACATTCGAATTTGTGTGTGGGGAGGGAGAGGGGCATGAAGGTGCAGGGGAGGTGTGGGGTGACTACAGGCCCTCTGCTGTGGGGCTGTTCAGGGACTGTGCTGGCTGATGGAGCCTGAGTCCCCTCCCCCAGCGTGGCCTTCCACGACCATGGCCTCACCCAGGACTCCCAGCTCATGGCCTACAGGCCAGGTCAGCAGGAGATGCTGGCGTTGGCCCTCTGGGAGGGGGACACTCTGCCCATCCCCCCATCCTGGGGAGGGGTGCACGGTGGTCAGGGGACCAGGGCCCCCACTCCTCCCCTTTGCAGCCCCAGGCGCGGCGGCTGACAATCGGTGATCGCGACAGGGCTGGGTGAGGGCCGGCGGGGGCGGGGTCGCGCCTGGGCGCCCGCGGCGCTAGTGTCACAATGGGTGACAGCCGGCCGGGTCTCCCGGCAGGGGAGCGATGGCGCGCACGTACCTGCTTGTCCTCTGCGGGATCGGGGTCGGGGTCGAGTCCGGGTCCGGGTCCGGTTCCGGGCGGGTCCGGGCCGGCGGGAGGGGGAGAGACGGAGAGACACGGTGAGAGGCGCGCGGGCGGCGGGGACAAAGGCGCGCGCGGGCACGCGGGCAGGCGCCGGGCTCACCTGGGGTCGCCAGCTTGCTCTTGTACCGCAGGCCTGTGCTCATGGTGGCCGCCGGCGGGGGACGTGCGGGGCGGGCGCGCGGGCGGGGCGCGGCGACAAGCGGCGGAGGCCGAGGCCGGGCCCTCTGCAGGGTGATGCGCCCCTCCGCGACCGCCGCACGCCGCCGCCGCCCGCCCCCGCCAAGCGCCCAGCAGCCAATCGGCGCCCGCGCGCCACGCGCGACCCGGCGCGGTCCCGGGGGGCGGACCCAGGCCCCCAACCATGGACCCGCGCCCGCGGCCTCGGGGCGACGTCCTCGCCTCCCACAGCCCCGGCCGCGCCCGGGGTCACCGGACCAGACCCGCGCCGCCCCCGCCCTGCAAGGCTGTTACCGGCCTCTTCCCCGCAACCTCCCCGGTGCCCCAGCCCAGGCCCGGCCCGCGCTCCCTCCGCCCTCGCTGGGACCCGGGCCACGCCGGTCCTCCCCGCGGACCATCCGTCCGGTGGCCCTTCTCTAAAGCCTGCCCTGGCTTTCCCGGCCAGGCCCTGCACGCTCCGCCCCACCCCGCCGAGGTCGCGGTGGACTCCGGAGGCGGTAGCCTGGGCAGGGATGGTCCCGGTGCGGCTGGCCAGTGCCCAGCCTTTCCTCTGCTGACCGCTCGGTGCTGAGCAGACCTGCTCTGCGAGCAGACGCACCTGGCAGGCTGCAGGCCACAGGCTTTTGGGCAGTGGTCCGGCCTCTCTTTTCCTGGGCTGTAAAATGGGATTATTTGTGAAGAGGAGTGAGCTGAGGTGTCGGGCAGGACCGGCCCTGACCATCTCACCCCAGCTCTGCGCCTGCTTCTCTGCTGACCCATAGGCTGTGAGGATGCTCCAGGCAGACCATATCCCACCCTGCAGAAAAGGCTTGTAGGGGACCGAGGGGCACTGTGAAGGCAGGCCCTGAGCCTGCACCCCGTTTACAGAGGGGGAAGTTCAGGCCCTAATCTTCAGTGAGTCAGCCAGACTCAGTGGCTGAGAGCAAGTCTCTCCGGTCATTTGTGTCACTATCACATTCCCAGGTGTCCTCCGCCTGGACTTCCCCAAAGTGTCCCCAGGCAGCACCTCTGAAGGCTTTGGGACTGTCAGGCTTGCAGTCATCACATCCCCAGGTGAGGGCCCTCTTGTATGCAGATGTCTCCTGCATCCCGTATGGACAGTACCTCCGCAGCCAGGGAACCCACCTCTGCTCCCCACCCGTCCTGTGCTCCTTGGTCCTTCTGCTGGCCCGTGGGCTCCCTGGGTGGAGGGGGGTGTCGCTAGGGCCTTTTCATCTCTGAATCACCAGCACCCAGCACAGTAAGTGAAAAATTCATGTAAGCGCGTCTTTGTTCCACAGTCCTTGCTCTGCTGCATTCTGTGGCCAGAGCCCCATCGACCATGACCCTCCTCTGGGTCTAGAACTCCAACCAGTGTGGGGACCCGCCACCTGCAATCCCAGCTCCTTATCCAAGATGTGTTTGGAACTCAGGCTTTTTTGTATACTCATACATTATGTGGCACCTCTTTGGGGTCTGGGACTGTTCTTCGTAATCAGACCCATTTATATTTTGGGGACAAAACACATGAGTATTGAGGTAAACTGGAAAGAAAGACAGTAAGTGATGGCACATCAGTTCAGATCCAGCTTTGCCACTGAGTTTTGAAAAACCTTTATGTTTCTGAGCTTTGGAGAATTTGGCATTTCGATAAAGAAATATGTGTCGAGGTCAGGAGATCAAGGTCATCCTGGCTAACACCATGAAACCCCGTCTCTACCAAAAATACAAAAAAT